TTCAGGTTATCCTGAGCTATCTCTATAGTTTACTACTATAGGCTTAGACTGCTGGAGGAAATAGGGACAATTTTTCCTCATTCTGCTTCATTCTATCTCTATTCTCCCATTCAGCACATTATGCAGAATTTTTGTAGTTCAACCTCTAACTTTATGCTCTGCTCCTTTTCATCATAGTAGCTTAATTTGGTCTGTTTCTGTTTGGCTTTAACGCCATCCTGGAGGGAGGCATTAGCTGTGCTTCTGTGTCAAACAACTTCCATTACAGGTCATAGGGCCGGATCTATCAAAGGTTTGCGTGTATTAAAACGTGAGCTATTTCACTGCGCACGCTAAAAAATGTACAAACTGATCTATCAACAGCGTGCTAAAAGGATTTGGTCTTTAAAATGTGCTAAATAGCGCCTCTTATCCATTTAGTACTTTTTCTGCAATGAATATGCAATATGGGGCGTTTACACGCAAAAGTGCGTCTTGTGGGAGAACATGTAAATATATTAATTTAGCACTCGCAAAGTGATTTATCAAACCTGAAAGCAATTTTGCTAACGCTATCTGACTCTATATTTAACACGTTTCAAAAGAAGGTGCAAATGGTCTGTATGCGTAATTGCGCACACATGGCAGCGGTTATTGTCGCAAGAAGGAGACATCGAAATGAAGCAAGGAGACGCAGAGAACGCATTTTTTCACTCCGTGTGAATATTTTTGGAATGAACGAGGAAACGATCATCAAAACATATCGTTTATCCAGCATTGCCATTTTGGAGCTGCAATTCCAGTGATTTGCTCCTCACAGAGCGTCAGCTGTACTTGTTCCTCAATGCTGGTCAGAGGCATCTCATCTACTGTGCCCCCTCCTGTTTTGTTCGCAGATGTTTTGTTATATGCCAGTTTTTCTTTGGTTCGCCTTCTAATATCCTGGTATCTTCTTTATACTTCATCCACTGTTCGCAAGGTTTCACCAACAGCGTTTTCTTTATTACAGATTTGTTCACATATATCGTTCCTCTGTGTGACAGTCACAATTTTTTGCTGTAGCTCACTTAAATGTTTGTTGGCTTCATCCACCAACCATAGGCGGATCTACTGGGGTGGCATAGGGTGGCAACTGCCACCCTAAATGACAGCCTTGCCACCCCTGCTGCCACCCTAGTTGGCTGTAGGGGTGGCGAGGCTTATAAATTATGGATCATTTGAGAATTACGGCCGCTAATTTCCAATGTCGGACTGCAGTGAATGCAGCACGAGATGACGCGAGAGCGACTGAGACTGATTGTTTTGAAAACCGAATGGGGCAAAGCGAGGGAGCCAGGGGTCATGGGGAGAGGAGACACGGGATGAAACAGGTAAAAACTGATTAACTATCTATCGAGGAATGAAATCATAATGAAAGCACAATGTTGCTAGCATAGCTGCAATGCTGATTTACAGATGATAAAAATCAGGTTGCAGAACGTTATTTCTCTAACTATGATGTTAGTTAGGCCTGACGTCTCAGGCTCATAAAGACATATTTGCGGTCAACTATGACAGAAAAGAGACGATCAAGTTTGGTTAAACTCAAATCAAAACGCACAAAGGTATTGGATCTAAATAAAGTTGTGAAGCGTTTTGCTGAGCAACATGGAAATCGCCGCATTCAGCTGTTATAGTCATGTTAACTTTATTATGCTCTCTGGTGAGCCTTTACAGAGCTGTTACATTTTGCTTTGGCACCTGAGAAAATCTGATATTTCCTTTAATAAAACCAAAAGTGTTAAAAGTTAAAAATGTGATACTGGTGTAAATCCTGCTTAATATGAAGCAGTGTTGTTGTTTCTTTTTTTGTATATATAGTATGAAACTATCCAGAAATGACCCGTATGAACCTACTCACAAGCAAAATGTATTTGTATGTTGCTTCTTTTCAGATTTGTGGAGATTTTGATGTAACATACAGAACCCGCCTTTTTGTTGATTTGTTGATACAGCAGTATGGAGGACCAACTCTGCCATATTTAAAAATAAATACAGAAATAAATAAATGCTTAATAAATAAATAAGCATACAATTAATTGCCACCAAAAATACAAACAACAAATAAATGTAAGTAGAAATTAAATTATACAGCTAGTCATAAAGGTATATAACTCTTTTAATTGGCTTCTTTATTTCTTTGCCTTTTTAATATTTACCTTATTTATTTTTTTGTCATTTATTATCTTCAACTTAATTTTTTAATTACTTATATTTTTAAGTATTTATTTATGTGCATGTTATCATATTTTTGTCTGTTTTATTCTTCCTTTGTATTTTTTTACCCTAGTTATTTCTTCGCCGCTATTTCTTTCTGCCTGCCCTTTTAACATTTCTGCCTGCCATTATAATATAATTTCTAATTACATTTATTTGTTGATTGTATTTTTGGTGGCAATTAATTGTATGCTTATTTATTTATTGAGCATTTATTTATTTCTGTATTTATTTTTAAATATGGCAGAGTTGGTCCTCCATTTACAGCTCTATCTACAGCATATTTACATGCATGAAATGTCCCTTTCATGTTGCCTTAACTGCTGTATGTCAAGTTACTGAGGAACAAATGGGGTAAATGTGTGTTCAGAGTAAACAATACATGGATGTCTGGTACCTTGTTTGGTGCTTTGACCCTTTTATTTCTACTGTGTAGTTCTGCTCACTTTAGTCCAGCTCAGTCCATAGATCTCTGATGGGGAACTTTTTCTTTCTATCGTTTCTTCTTGGTCAAATGCTGCAAAGCTGCCTCTCTGACAGTCAATCTCACACATCTACTACTCAGCACCTGTGTCTTACCTTAATACCTTTCCTGTCATAATGCCCCCCTAGAAGTAGTGTTATCATTCTTCTATCTCCTATTAGGTGAGATCACATTGTACGATGTATTACTAATATGAACTGTTTCACATGAAACACTAGTACTGTACATACAGTACTATTCTCACCAAACTGTGATAACTGTGATTAAATTAAGTGTAAACAAATGCCATATGTTGCCACCCCTAAAAAATTCCTGCCCCCCTCTTGCCACCCCATAAATATTTTTCTAGATCCGCCCCTGCCACCAACACCTCCATTTCCATGGGGTCGAATTTCCTTTTGCGCCATCTGCTGTCCAAACTTGCCATGCCGCAAACCACCAAACGCGCAAAACCATAATTTAAATAGGGCGTCTCCAACAGTTTTGCACCTGCCACCAGTTACGCAATCGCTCTTGTTAAATCACCCGCAAACCATGGTTCAGCCCCTCGCGCAAAATTCCAGTTTGCGAGCGCAAAAAAACACAATTGCATTGTCTTATTTCAAGTGCATTTTATCTAATTAACTAATTTTAAGAGTAAAATTACTCATTTCATTGGCAAACTAGCTCATTTACCTACTCAAATTAAGGGTGAATACACTTAATTTAAGAAATTTTTCCTTTTTTGTAGGTCGGTTTTTGCAGTGTGTCTTCTGTATTCTGTTCTCCTCTGATCTCATTACGGACTCTGAATAGTTGTCATGGTTGCTGGTTGTAGGGGGGCTGAATATGGAAGTAAATGGGACATTAAATATATCTAATCTGACAGGAAATATACACTGCAAAAAATTGGAATCTACATCAGTCAATTTTTCTTAAAATAAGTGTCCTTTTTCTTAAATTGAGGAGGAACGAGACAATTTACATTTAAAATAAGAAAGAACAATTGTATTGTCTAATTTAAAAACGCATATTATCTAATTATCTTATTCTAAGAGTGAAAATACTCATTAGATTGGCAAACTATCTCATTTACCTACTCAAATTTAGGGTAAATACACTTAATTTAAGAAATTTTTACTTATTTCTAGATCATTTTTCCAGTGTATTGCTGAGGGGCCTCATCGTTAATATTTTGTATTTTCAAATATAGCATAATTTTATACTACAAAATGAAGAAGTTTGCTTTGGAAAGATGATGATGCTTTTCAGAAACAAAGACTTCAGCTCCGTTTAATAAAAAGCAGAGCTGAATTATTTTGTGGAACATCCAAATATTGCCTAAAGTGCGGGATCGTTTTCTTTTCCAAAGGCCCTCACTGGGGAAAATCTTTTTTTCTTAAAATAAGTGAATTTGTTCTTGGATTGAGGAGGTAAACGAGACAGTTTGCCAGTGAAACAAGACAATTGACACTTATAATAAGAAAACACAGTTGCATTGTCTTATTTCAAGTGCATATTATCTAATTATCTTGTTTTAAGAGTAAAAATACTCATTTCATTGGCAAACTGTCTCATTTACCTACTCAAATTAAGGGTAAATACACTTAATTTAAGAAACTTTTACTTATTTCTAGGTCGTTTTCCAGTGAAACCCTTGTTAAAGTGATGACATAAACTGTTGAGAAAACTATACACTGGAAAAACAATCTACAAATAAGTAAAAATTTCTTAAATCAAGTGTTTTTACCCTTAATTTGAGTAGGTAAATGAGACAGTTTGCCAACGGAATGAGTATTTTTACTCTTAAAATAAGATAATTAGATATTATGCACCTGAAATAAGACAAACCAATTTTGTTTTCTTGTTATAAGTCTAAATTATCTCGTTCCATTGGCAAAATGTCTCTTTTACCTCCTCAATTCAAGAACAAATGCATTTATTTTAAGAAAAAAATGACTTATGTAGATGCCGATTTTTTCTAGAGTATGGAAATCCGGTGGGATGTAACTGGTTTCTGATCACTGAGATTATCCCAAATGTGGCTTCATCTATGGAGATATTGTTCACCAGAAACCAGATAAATATTATCTTACCACCTTCCAAGCCTGAGTTTGTTGAGTCACAGGCAGGACCTCTGACTCTGAATGATCTGGACGATCTTTAACATCGGGGATAGCTGTGTTTGTATCATTATGCTGCTGCAATAAGAACGCTTTTTGACACTTCTTGATCAGGGAGGCCATTTAATTTGTCTGTCACCATGTGACTGAGCAGAAGACGGACACAGGAACCATCTTTCAAACTGTCCATGTCGTCTTTTATGTCACCCAGCTGTCCATTCTCATCCGTTTCACCGTGGGGCTTTCCCTGCCCTCTGACCGGCCTGCAGGGAGCAGCAGGAGGTCTGGACGTCGTCTCTGCTGATGCTCCTCTCGGTCGCTGCCGTCCTCGTGGGAGCTGCAGGAGGAGCTGACGCTGCCGGTGGGAGACCTCCCTAAGTCAGCCCGGGTGGATGAAGAGGCAGAAGAAGAAGGAGGGGGAGGAGGAGGTGCGGCGAGGTGGGTCAGGTATCCAGGCTGGGTGAGGTGGTCGCGTGGAGGAGAGATGGGCTCAGCTTTGATGTTGATGTTGGTGTGGACAGAAAGATTGGAGCCTGCTGATCTACGAACACACAGAGATGGAAGAGGCAGTTGTGAGAGCGCCACCTGGTGGCAAACATTGCTACACGTTCTGCCCTGTTTGATCCGACTTGCTGAAACTCTGAATGAATCAAAGCTTTATCTAGTCAGCATAATTTTGCTGTGGCTGCTTCAGAAAATATCAGAAATGTATATTTTGGATAAAGTTCTACATCAACTCTAAACCAAATAGTAAAGCATTTCCAGTGGTGTTAAAAGTTCACACATTTGTTACTTAAGTAAAAGTATAGATACTGCAGTTTAAAAACACTCTGGTAAAAGTTGAAGTATCAACTTGACCTCTTTACTCAGTGTATTCTCATTATCAGTTCGTATGAAATCGTACGAAAAGTTAAGCACAGTAATTTCATACGTTTTTGACGTTTTTTTCGTCGTATTTCGTCGTATTTTTACGTCTTGCCTCGAGACAAGATATCCTTGCGCATGCGCATCTTACGCACCATTCAATAACATAGAATTTAACATAGAATAAACCCTAACCCTAACTCTAAGATACAAAACAGCAAGCAACCTAGTGAGAGACATGATTGCACTGTTTTTCCCAGTTTTACGTCCGTCTGCGGATCTGCTTTTTTGGTCTGTCTGGCTGCGCACGCGCACTGATCTGTTTTTTTTCTAGGAAAAACGTCCAAAACGTACGAAATACTGTGCATAACTTTTCGTACGATTTCATACGAACTGATAATGAGAATATGTCGCTTTACTTCAGTAAAAGTGAAAAAGTATTTGCTCCAAAAACTACTTAAAGTATAAAAGTATAAAGTAACCTTTAAAAAAAACAGCCAGATGCCACTATATGAATTGAAAGCTCAATTTTTCGACTATTTTGAACAATTCTTTGAGATAGGGCCAAGGATGGGGGAGGTCTTGTTGGTCTCCGTCTCCCGATACGCTCTCGCCTGTGTCCGAACTTTCAGACATTTCGACATCTTTTCGTGAATCCCACATTGTAGCATGGCATAGACAATTCACGTTAGCAGTTTGAAGAACACCTGCTTGCTTCTGATGGTTTCCTTTAGCTAACCAATGAGTGTTTGCGTTCTATGACTCATCCAATCACACTAGTTTTCACTAGATGTGGATGGAGCCAATGATCTGCATTGGATGGAGCACATGACGGGAAATAAATATTTATAGACAGTAAACCGAAGCCAAGAGTAACGAATAACGTTTGTTTTAAAAATGTAAGGAATAAAGCAGATATCTGTCCCTTCACTCAAGGAACAGCCTCAGTGTGGAACAACCCAAAAATAAAACTAGAGGGGAAAATGATCTTTTGGAGGAATTGGCATACAAAAGGGATTGACAGTATAAACTGCTTCTTTCAAAATGGCTCCTTAATATCATTTCAACAATTATACAACCTAACTCACACAGATTTCTGGAAGTTTTTACAAATAAGGGACTGCCTCATGAAATAAAGAATCCCGGGGTAACCATATCCATGGAATCACCAATACACACTATGTTTAATAAATTGAAAGACTCTCCAAGACGAGTAAGTCATATTTATAACTACTTGATTGGAAAGAATTGCAACATTAATAAAGGACTTAAGGTGTGGGAATCAGAACTAAACAAAAAGTTCCCAGAGGAACAGTGGAGTGCAATAGTCAAACAAATGTTAAAGCCCATAAGGGATACAGTTCAAAATTCTGAATCGTTTATATTGGACACCAGTTAAACTCTTTAGAGCTAAAATAAGTAACTCGGATATGCTGGCGATGTAAACAAAGTCGGGGAGACATGCTTCATATGTTCCTCACGTGTCCAAACCTGATTTCTTATTGGCAGGCGGTTATGGGAAAAATCAACAGCACCCTTAACTCCAATTTATTTTTGACACCTACATTAGGACTTCTTAACTTCTTAGATTATGAGGTCAAAATAGGAACAAAAAAAACACAATGGTTCAAAATAGCCCTTACCACGGCAAGGCGAGTTATATTAAGACACTGGAAGGATCAAAACACCCCCCTACATATTCAGAATGGTACGCAGCACTAGGCTTGTCCCGATCCGATACGTGGATCGGATCGGGACGCCGATATTGGCAAAAAAATGCGTATCGGCAAAGCATGTAAAATGCCGATCCAGTTTAAAAAAAAAAATCGGGTCCGTATTTTCCAGTTTCGCCGATTGAAACGATCCATTCCACTATTTTGCGCCAGTGTTTCCCTGTTTTGCATTTTTATTAAAACTTACAGTAATACTTGCACCTTTAACTGTTTACGGTTTTACTGTTCACTGTGCAATTTCAGATTGCTATTCATAATTTTGTCCAGTTTGTGTTTATCTCTTAATAAACAGGTAAGTTTGTTGTTACCAATCATTGTGTTTTATTCAATCTCACCTAATTTAGCTGGCTAGATGTTATCAAGAGTACTAAAACCCTTTTCAACATGAGTCTTACAACTAAGGCTAAATACTTTAACTTAAACTTAAATACATGCTCGGATAGGCTGGTATCGGCCAGTGTCGGTATCGGATCGGAAGTCCAAAAACAATATCGGTATCGGATCGGAGGTGCAAAAACCTGGATCGGGACATCTCTACGCAGCACTTTTCGAGACCGCCTCTTATGAACGACTCATACACAAAATAAACGGCCAGATTGAGGCGTATCAAAGTACATGGGAATCGTTTTTAAAACCAGAGAGGAAATACTCAAACACTATTGATCCAGAATAAAGATGCAGTGTGTTTTTTTTCTTCTCTTTAGTCTCATCTGCTGGCGGAGGTGGGGGGAGTACGGGAGGGGTTCATGATTAAATGTTTAAAAACCCAAGTCCTTCTCTGTACAATCACTCAATGTTGAACACTTTACAGTACTGACACTGTCATCACTGGTTGTACTGTATGTTTTTGAATTGTTGAAGGATGTAATAAACATTCAAATTGAAAAAAAAAAATGTAAGGAATAGAAAGTACAGATACTTGTACTGAAAATGTAATGAGTAGAAGTCAGAGGTAGGAAGAATAATAAGTAATGGAATAAAGTACAGATACCTAAAATGTACTTAAGTATTTTTACTTTGTTATTTGACACCTTTGATATTTTCTATTTCTTCATTTCAGCTTAAAGCCAAACAGTTTGCCTCAAAACTGATCTGTTTAAACCAACAGCGGTTCAGGTAGGAAGCTCTGTGTTACTCACCCCAAGGAGCTGAGCTGGTGCTGCTCCCAAGCTGTCATGGAGCCCAGGCCCGCGGCCGAGCTGAAGCCGGCCATGTCTGCACTGCTCAGGGAGTAATCTGGTCAACAGAGGGATAAAATGATAAATACTCTCAGTCAGCCGTTTTATTTTGGTCCAAAAGCTTTTCAGAATATATTTTTACTCCCAGAACTCCTCGTTTTATCCCATTAAAACAACAAACCTTAATGTGTTTTATAATGACTTTATGTAAACAGGACAACACTGAAAAGACAGTAAATGTCAAATATATTTGACATATTACTTTCACAATGGTTTATATAACATCTTTAAAGATGCTAAGTCCATTTCTGTCAACCCCCCTTTTACTCTTATAACCCTAAATAAATTATTCAGAGGGCATCTAACTGGACCAGACAGTGAACCTGTTGGTAAATTAATGTCAGACACAGACACAAGCTTCATGGGGTTCAAAGAATTCAGCAGAGGGTCCAGGGGGGGGGAGAGGAGAAGTCTAAAGCAGGGTGAGATCCATCAGAGCCAACTTACAGTACAATCTATCATCTGGAGGAGGAAAGAAAAATGGCACAAATGCAAACTGACTTGGATATGGTTATTTCTCTAAACTAAGAGGCGAGGCAGGAGCATAGTTAATCAGAGAATCAGAGGTTCCTTGTTACTCTGGAGGAGCTGTAAAGATCCGGAGCTCAGATGCAAGAATGTAACCATACGAAAATCGTCAGTTTTACAAATTTTTTTAAATTAAGTGTATTCATTCTTAATTTGAGTAGGTAAATTTGATAGTTTGCCAATGGAATGAGTATTTTTACTCTTAAAATAAGATAATTAGATAATATGCACTTGAAATACGAGAATTCAACTGTGTTTTCTTATTTTAAGTGTAAATTGTCTTGTGCCATTGGCAAAATGTATCTTTTACCTCCTCAATTCAAGAACAAATGCACTTATTTTAAGAAAAAAATGACTTATCTAGATTTAGATTTTTTGCAGTGCACTCCACAAATCTGGGCTTTATGGGCGAGTGGTGAAGGGAAGCCATTGTTGAAAACAAGCAGGGTTTACAGCCATCATGTTATCCTTGCTGTAACATGATGGTGGCAGCATCATGCTTTGAAATATTTTTTGTTTTTTGGAAGAGACAAGAAATGAGTCTGAGATAATAAAAAAATGGAAGGAGCTCAATACAGCGCAGTCCTGAATGACAAACAGAAATATTGACATAACCCTTTAAACAACTTTAAACAGCCGGATCAGACCATGTGTTTGGATGGATCTAGACTTTCCACTTAACGGTTCCTATAAATGAATCTGTTTAAGTTGCTTTCTAAAGAAGATGGGAACAAATTTCCGCCTTTAGACGTTCAAAGCTAGTAGAGAACTACTCAAACAGACCAGCTGCAGTCAAAGATGGTTCTTAAAAAGTACTGAATATTTCATTGTTGACCAAAAAGAGTTGGAAAACATACAAGAGTTTCTGGTATTTTATGATCATGAGCTGCTTTATATAGGTCTATCAATAAAAATATTTAAAATATAACAATAAAGATTGTGGAAACCTTTTCAGCATGTCTACGTCTAAGGGTAGGCTGAAAACTTTCCTTTTTGATAAAGCTTTTAGTTAGAGTGGCTCAGGCTATTATTAGCTATCTGTTCTGCTGCTATAGGCTTAGACTGCTGGAGGACATAGGGACCCCTTTTTCATCATTCTACTACATTCTATCTCTATTCTCCCATAGTAGCTTCATCTGGTCTGTTCCTGTTTGCCTGTGACTCCATCCTGGAGAGAAAATCAGCTGTGCTGCTGCCATCAACACCTTTGCTTCTAGATGTTGGAGATTGGCCTGTTTTTCAGTGTAGTCCTGTTTCTCTGACTGTAACTGCTCTCTTTTATCCTGCGATATGGTGGCTCTGAGTTTTTGCAGTTGCTTTTTGTATCTATGCTTCTGTCTCCTTGAACCCCAGTCGGCCTCAGCAGATGGCCGCTCACACTGAGCCTGGTTCTGATGGAGGTTTCTTCCAGTTAAAAAGGAGTTTTTCCTCTCCACTGTCGCTACAAGCATGCTTAGTGTGAGTCGATGCAAACAACTGTTCTTTTTTTTTTTTTGGTAGAAATGTTTCAACCAATCTGACTGTTTGATCTGGTTGAATTGTCTCTGTAAAGTGCCTTGAGATGACGAGTGGTTTGAATAGGCGCTTATATAGATAAACTGAATTTAATTTAACAACTTAAGTAACCTTTAATAATGTATAAAAGTGAAGGTAGCCTACATAAATGATTATTACTACCAGTAGGAGGCACAAATGAAAAATGAAAAACCCAAACAAACAGGTACCGCTGTTGTAGGCAGAGCTGATGCTGGAGTAACCCAGACCCTCATGGGCCAGACTGGGAGTGGTGATGGAGACCACTGGGGTGGACAGAGGCTGAGTGGTCTGACTGCTGCTCAGCCGCTGATTATTCTGGGGGAAAAAAGAATGAGTTGGTTCCACATGTTTCTGTTTACATCCTTGCTATGCAAAGTTTAGCCACAGTATGCAATGCCCTTTTTCAACCACATGGTGTCAGTATAAACCTATGTTTAAGTACAATCATGCCTGCTGGCCTCCAGTCAAACTTCTGTTAGCTTGTTTAATGGCATGTGTGGCAGGTTCTTCAAAGCCAAACTGGCTTACAGACCACTTCATAATGTTCAGTTGTTCCTCCCTGAGCTGCTGGCCTCCCAGCCTGATAATGTGACCAATGACATCATCCCAAATGATCTCCTTCTCTGCTAAATAAACATACCGGTACACACACATACACTACAGAAACATTTAATAAAAATACAGCGTTATTAAATGTAACCCAGAGGTATTTGCTGGAGACTGAGGTGTTTTCTGCTGCATCTGACCTCAACTGACAGCGAATAACCGGTTTATCAAACATTGTCATGAATCAGTCACACATATGAAGTAAGAGAGCTCAGTTCTCTCTGTGCATTGCTTCGGTGAACCGATAGCAGCTCTAGTCTGTGCAGAACATGCATGCATGCATAAAGGAGGGAAGTGAGAAGCAGCTTGAAGATGATCTAATCAAGGAGCCGCTTCTTAAATCAGTAAAAAATTTCCATCCTGTTTGTTATCGCAGCGTTGCACCAGAGTCAAGCCAATAAAGCTGGCATTTAACCACTAAGCTGTGTAAATTAGCCCAGTCAGAGGCCCCGGATATAAGCCAGGCTGTTTGAGGCATTTGCTCCACAGGAGTTAGGAAGTTGTCAACATTTGATTAGAAAATGCAAGACTCTAAACTTCCTTCAGAAAACATAGATAACAGTCAGCAAACCTCTCACCTCTCAGGAGGAGAAATGGTTGGATAGACAACTTCTATTAAAGGAAGTCTTTATTTTGGTACATTTACCCTGATAGCTGGATAAATTTCACTTTCTTTAAAAAGGGGGATTAATTACTAATTATGCCTACTTTTCTCGTTACTGAGATGTTCCATCAAATACACGTTCCTTTCCTTAAGACAACTTAAAGTTACACTAATCCTTAAATGTGGCTTTTTTATTCAACATTTTTCCATCAAAACATCAGATTTTAGGACCGCTTTAACAACAGAATAAATAGAAAACCCTAAAAGAGGCAGAAGAATGGATGTTCTGGGGCAATACACGAAAAAAACACTTACAGTTGTCAATTTGTTCCAATCATTTCATTATCTTACATCATAATAGATCAAGGTGAACAAATAAAGCAGAATATCACTTGAACCTCAATTAATTTAAAATGAATTTGAAAGCTTAACACCCGGGTGTGACACAGATACTAAACTATTTTAAGCTTTTTACTCTGGGTTAGAGTCAGGTAAACGATTTTTGCTTACAGCCAATAAAACCGATTTGATTGTTGAAAAATTAAACAAAACCAACAGAAAATAGTAAAACTAAAGGTACATCCCATTTCCTGAGAATACCAGTGTATAGTGATACTTGAAGCTACAAATGTATCCACTTTTTGAATATCCCTGGTGTTTTCGTTTCACAATGTTTTCCTTCATTCAGCTTTCCATGAATAAGAAACCACTCTAAGAAACAGCCTGCTTCATTAGAAATAGCTTTTTTCAGGCTTCTTTTATAACTTTGATTGAAAAATATTTTCTAATCTGCAAAATTTCTGAGATTAGAATCTTAGATTTTCAATAACTGTAAGCTATAATCCTCTAGATCAGGGATCTTCAATGTTTTCCAGGCCCAGGACCCCCAAACTGATGGTGAGATGGAGCGGGGACCTCCTAATTATATATATTGTATGAAATTGTGTTCTATCAAACTGGTCCTATAGTCACTCTATTACAGATGAATCAGTGTGATGACAGTAATTTCTCCCTGGGATTATTAAAGTATTTCTGATTCCTGGTTGATGGGACAGGTGTTGTGAATTAAACGGTGCCCAGCTTGAAAGAGCTCCTGTGTGTCGCTGAATGTTTGCATTGATGACTAAAAGTCATCTTCTGCCTCCATTTATCTGTTTACTATGGAGGATAAAAAGTGCCAAAATTAAATAAATAAATACAGCGATAAACAATTAATTAAATGTGTAATTCATTAAATAAAAAAGGAAATAAATAGATAAATGTGTCATTAATTTAATAAAATACGTCTTCATTTTATTTTAAAAATATATATAATTATTTCAGTGTGCATCAAAGTTAGGGGGCGGTTATCTAACACCTGATTGGTTACCCTGCACATTAAGGCGAAGCAAATCGATTACAGAGACTCGATTCGCGCTAACCCCGCCCCCTAACTTTGATGGGTGAGTTTGACAGATTCTTTTAATGGTTTCGATGCACTGCGACACAGGACCATGAAATAATTAAATGCACACTAAAATAATTATATATATTTTTTTAATAAAATGAAGACATATTTTATTAAATTAATGACACATTTATATTTTTAATTCATTATTTATTTAATGAATTACACATTAAATTAATTGTTTACTGCAGTGTGTTGAATTCATGTTAATGTGGATTTAAAGACATTTCAATTAGGGGGAAAAATTGCAGAATTTGAAGACCTCCTCTCTAGATTATTAAAGAATGATCAAAGCATTCAAAATACACTTAAGGTAACCTGGCCTAACTTCACATTTATTCAAGAGCGTATCGGCTGGAGGTTAAGAACTCAGGTGATCCGTACCAGCATCATTCCTTTGCAATGAGGGATGACCACTCGGAGGTCGGTTTTGCGGCTGCTGGGGATCAGGCTGCTCCCTTGATGTGGAAGAGAAGGAGGAGACTTTGTTGGTCCGATCTTCCCCAAAATGCTGCTTCCATCACTGGACCCCATGAATCCATTCACTGAATAAAAAACACAGCAAAAGTGATGGAAAGAAGATCCCAAACAGTCTGCTGACAGCATTAATGATTCTTAAATCATCCAGTTCTTTATTTTGTTTTTTTATTATTAATAAAAATGGAGAAAAGACTTGGAAACTGCATTTTATATCATATGCATTCCCACGTACCGGACCCATTATATATATATACAATACAAGAGAAAACCATAAATACTTTATTTGATCTCTCCAACGTTATGTAATGGCTTCATTTCTAGGATTATAAGCAAATTTCTGGGGATAAAAACCAACCCCAAGAACAAACCCTGCTAGTGTGGATGGAGGACAGCGTCATCGTTACGTCCACCCTGACTGACACCTGGAGTCTGATCCTGAAGAAGGCCTTCATTTACAAATTCAAGATATGTTGCTCTCCAAAAAAAACACTCTATGAAGACCAAGAAAAGCGTCCTTAAAAACAATCGCTTAGCACAACTCTGCCCTCTTCCCTTAGTCTGAGACAGAGCCTAGAGTTCCCTAATGGTTTTGAGCATCCATAAAAGTTCTACTGCTTTGCTATTGTCGTGGCAGAATGTCAGGCTCCTGGATGAGAACGGTGGTAGCAGTGGCATTTTATCCATGAAGTCAGGGACCAACAAAAGAGCAGCGCTGGGCTCATGCCAAGGCGAATAGCTCATCACACTCTGGCAGCGCTCCAGGTACGTTAATGCACTGCTTTTGCCACGGCGTCCTCCTTCCAATGGTCTGCCTTCAAACAAAACTAATCACACAATGCTCTTATAAGTAGCTGCAATGGCTCATCCACACTGTCAACACATCAATGAGTCCAGATACTCTGGAACACAGGAATCTATATCTGAGGCTAGCAGCTCAAGAGGAGAGCGCACACCTCCAAATTGTGTCCTTTACTCTCAGACTACTGCATTGAAACTGCTGTGAGCAGCTGTGTAGCTCAGAGGTTCCAAAACATTTCAGTCTGTGACCCAAAAATAACAGAGGAGAGTCTGGAGACCCCCTAAAAATACTAACTCACTGTATGTGTGTATGTGTGTATGTATGTATGTATGTATGTATGTATGTATGTATGTATGTATGTATGTATGTATGTATGTATGTATGTATGTATGTATGTATGTATGTATGTATGTATGTATGTATGTATGTATGTATGTATGTATGTATGTTATGTATGTTATGTATGTTATGTATGTATGTAAGAAGGTAAGTAAGTAGGTAAGAAGGTAAGTAAATAAGTAAGTAGGTAAGTAAATAAGTAGGTAAGTAAGTAGTTAAGAAGGTAAGTAAATAGCTAAGAAGGTAAGTAAGTAGGTAAGAAGGTAAGTAAATAGCTAAGAAGGTAAGTAAGAAGGTAAGTAAGTAAGTAGGTAAGTAAGTAGGTAAGAAGGTAAGTAAGTAGGTAAGTAAGTAAGTAAGTAAATAAGTAAGTAAGTAGGTAAGAAGGTAAGTAAATAGGTAAGTAAGTAAATAAGTAAGTAAGTAGGTAAGAAGGTAAGTAAATAGGTAAGTAAGTAAGTAAGTAGGTAAGAAGGTAAGTAAGTAAGTAAAGAAGTAAGTAAGTCAGTAAGTAAGTATGTATGTCATTTTAAATGTAATTTTTTTTAACTGATGGGGCAATAAACTATTTTAAGGTTCATTTTATGATTTAATACTATATTCAATATTTAAATCATGTTTTAGATAAATAAAAAAACTTGAATGAATTAAACAAATCTGCTAATTTTAATGTACATTCGCATGTATGTATTTCATAATATATTTTGGCCCTCCATATACCTCAGGGATCCCATCACAATGATTATTTTAAAAAACTCTGGATCTCGACTTCTTTCTAGGGAAGCCCGGATGTACCCCCATTAGCAGCAGCTTCTATTTTAACCTTAGACTCTTTGGAGAACAACGTGACGCCATGATACTTTGAAATTAGGGCTGAAACAATTAATCAGATTAATCTATTACTTATTTAAATAATTTTCAACTAATTTGGTAATCAATTAAATGTTAACTGAGTATAGAGACTGTAAAATATGCTTTTAGCTGTCAGAGCAACCGATTCAGAGCTCTAAATATATCAAAATGGTGAAAAAATATATAAACATATTGCATTTAAGATAAGGAAAATATATATCTTTGCTTGTCAATATGCCTTATTAAGAACTCCTCAAGTGGAAAAGTAGGAAGGAACCTTTGGCTATCTGATTAGTAATCGATTAATTGAAAAATAATCGACAGATTAATCAATTAGCAAAATAATTTTTAGCTGCAGCCCCAATTGATCCTTGTTGTTCACAGGATTCCTTTTAATCCACCAGGGTATCTACAGACTTCTCTCGTTTAACTAAGAAGCTGATAGAAGATAAAATGTGTTTATAAGCTGTAAAGTCATGCCGCTATATTTCAGGGAACTCTACAGATAAGGCTAGATTTGCAGCAGTAGTTTGTGTTAGTGTAGCATAGTCTGTAGCTCATAGCTGCATGATGATGTGAGCAGAGAGTTGTGCCAAGTGACGACTAATGTTGACATTACAAAATGGCGGCTTCCCAGTTTTGCTTCGATTCAGCCAGATTCTTCTTCTTCCGTAGAGCTCAGCGCAGCCTAAACCCTGATTACTCACTTTAGAGCGATAGACTGAAGCAGAAACTATTTACACTGACTCACAGGTCCCACCCTGGAGCTAAGATGTGAGATACTGCAAAGTGGAGAACTAATGATGTCATCAACAGGACAGAACCCAAAGCCAACAGCCTCAAACCTCACAGACATTGACTTTAACAGACTATGAGAAAACAAAGTGTGTGTTTGTGTAAAGAGCTGCATGTGTCAGAGCATGTTTCTAAGAGCCGTACCAGCTGCTCCAGATCCGTTGTGTAGAGCCAGATCTGAACTGGCCTGCAGGCCACCTGATGGTGAGCAAAAACACAAACACACAGTTATTAAGGACTTCTGCTTATCCAGTGCACATCCCCCCCCCCCCCCCCCCCCCCCCCCAAACGTTTTTCTGTCCTTGAAACTTTTCATTTCTTTAGAGGAATTTCAAGTTCAGTCATATGTTTCACTTCTGAGGTGCACAAAGTGACAGCTGGTCACTCTAATAAAATCAGTCTGTTATCAAAATAGCCTTTTCTCCAAATGACTGTTTAAAATACGTTTCAAATATTTGCTCCAAGCATAGTTTGTATTGATGTTCAAAATGTAATTCCATTCATGTATGGATACATTTTAAGCCCTAATCTTTAAAGGTTCCAAACTAAGGGCGCAATCAATTAGTGGGCGTGTTGCGGGGCATCTGCAAAGAGTGCTTGTGCAAATGTGAAGACCATCAAACTGGTTCGATTCCTTCCTATCCAAATAAGAAAACAGCATGTGCTTTTGGCAGTTTGACGGTGGCTGTTAAAAAAAAAGACAAAAAGTTATTATAAAAAAAAAAGAAAATAGCAATGATAAAGTGCACTTGACAGAGGTAGCCCATCTCAAAGTGCTCTGACCAAAAGTAAAAAAATAAAATAAAATGGTAAATGCCCTGTACTTATATAGCGCCTTTATTCAAGTCAGGAGACTTGACCAAAGCGTTTTACATTACATTCATTCACCCATTCACGCACACTGATGGTGGCAAGCTACATTGTAGCCACAGCTGCCCTGGGGCTCACTGACAGAAGCGGGGCTGCCGTACACTGGCACCACCGGGCCCTCTGACCACCATCAGTAGACAATGCAGGTGAAGTGTCTTGCCCAAGGACACTGAAAGTCGGAGTCGGGGCTTGAACCGTAAATCTTTCGATTTCAGGGCAAACTCCTACATCCAACGCCACTATTTATGAAAATATAGTTAAAAATATCAAATACCTATTCCACCCCCCCTCCACAGAGAAGGAGCCACTGTCAGGAGATTAGACTCCAAAGAGCTGGATTCTCTGGGTTAGAGTTAGGTAAAAGATTTTTGCTTACAGCCAATAAAACTGATTAGACTGTTAGAATATTAAACAAAACCAACAGAAAATAGTAAAATTAAAGGTACATCCCATTTCCTCAACCTAAAAGTGTGTAATGATACTTGAAGCTACAACTTTATCTGTCAGGTTTCCTTTCTCCATGTTTTATAGTTTTAGTAGTTTAATTATTATTTTGTTGTTATTTCCAGTCTTCCAGGTTTCTATTTGTTGTCCTCTGCTGCCCTCTTGTGTTCACCTTTTTCCCTAGCTCTTTCCCTCTCTTGTTCTGTGTACACCTGCTCCCAGTTTCATTAGCCCTCTCTTTGTATCAGTCTCCTTTGAAAAGCCCTCTCTCTTCAGTTCTTCTTTGCTGGGTCCTCGTCAAACACCATCAAACATGCTCCAACTCCTTCTCTCTGAGCCTTCCTCCTTATGATAGTGATTCCCCTGATGTCTCCATGGTTTCTGGTACGTTAAGACTAGTTTTCATGTTTTGATTTTTGGATTTCTGGACTCCTGGATTCATGTTTGTTTGGACTTTGTTTTCTTTTTGGATAACCTTCCTCTGTTTTCTGTAAACTCATTATTTAATCCACAAGAGATTCACCTCTGCCTCCCTGCCTCTGCTTTTGGGTCAACTAGCCATAGCCAAATCGTGACATTATCCACTTTTTGAATATTCCTGGTGTTTTCTTTTCACAGTGTTTTTTTTCCATTCAGCTTTCCATGAACATGATAAAACCCAGCGCTCTGAGAACAGCCTGCTTCATTAGAAATAGCTTTTTTTCGGGCTTCTTCTAAAACTTTTATTGAAAAATGTACCTCCACCACCCCCTGCATACTGCAAAACAGTAAAAAAACAGGTTAGCACCAGCTGAATCATATATGGAAGTCATTTTGCACTTTCTTTGAAAATCTGCCCTGCTTGTAAGAAGTTTGCACCGATTGAAGACTCACAACCCTTCTAAAGATCAGACCCTTAGTGTCAATCTGCATAAAAATGTCTTGATTTGAATCCTCACATTACTTTAATGTCACCAGTTTAAACACAGACCTGAGTTTCCGGTGCTGGGAGGTCTTTGTGAGGAGTTTGTGTGCCTTTGAGGATGTGTGTGAGGGGAGCAGAGGATCCCGCTGTCGGACAGAACCTGGGAAGTCACTCCTCCTCCTCCGGCTGCACCGTGACAATAGTTTGTGCTGCCTAGCGCTGCTTGCATGAAATGCTGCTGCGGCTGACCTGTGGACTAGAGGGAAAGCAGAAGAACAGCGATCTTCACATCAGCTCAGACTGTAATATTTAATAGGATCAGTAAAACATGCGGTTATTTGGCCACGATATCCATTTCTTCAGCTGTCTAATGGATTTGGTAAATGGAGCTACTCAGAGAAATCTAAAACAGAATCATCCGTCCTTCTGTCCAAATGTAAAATTAATAGGCAAAAAGAATTGCTTACTATTTTATGACTTTTCATCATGTTGTCAAAGTCCTCGTTAATCTTTTTATATTTCTCCTCTGTGCTCGGGGTGAGGACGTAGGTGCTCTCATTGTCCGGGCTGTCGCAGCCTCTGTGCTCCTTCTTATTCAGGGCCTGCGGCAAAAAAAGGCAAAACAGAAAAGCATAAAGTTGAGTAAAAATAAGCACAATATTTCCTTTTTACGTGCAAGAAAACAGCATTTTCCTGCAAGTTGGCAGTAGACACACTGGAAAATTTATCTAGAAATAAGTAAGAATTTCTTAAATTAAGTGTATTTATCCTTATTTTAAGTAGGTAAATTAGATAATTTGCCAATGGAATTAGTATTTTTACACTTAAAATAAGATAATTAGATAAAAAAAACACTTGTAATGAGAGAATGCAATAGTGTTTTCTTATTTTAAATGTAAATTGTCTTGTGCCATTGCCAAAATGTCTCTTTGACCTCCTCAATCCAAGAACAAATGCACTTATTTTAAGATAAAAATGACTTTTCTAGGTTTCCATTTTTTCCAGTGGACATAGAAAGGTTTTTAAAGCTGAATTAGAAAGCATTAAAAACCACTTTGTTAACGCCTTACTCTGTTTTCATCTGAGGTCAGAGGTCACCGCTGAATAAAAGAAAACCTTTGCCTTGTAGGTGAGAGTTTTGAATCCTCCTTTAGTACAAGGAGAACATTGTGTACAAATGAAACCAATGTTCATAAGAAGCTATGAAATATAATAAATTTTCACCAGGTCTATATTACACTGTTATTTGAAATAGTGCACAGATTATTCCCTTTATATGAGCTCGGTGAACTTCTCTGCTCGTTCCCATTTTATCAACAGCAATCCATCTACAGGTTTTATTTCCACTGCAGCTTTGAAAATCGATTTGGATTTAACTTTGTGTCTAAGCTTCAAAATATGGACTCCTCTCAGACTGTCGTTAGATGAAAGACTGTCTAAATAACACAAAAAGGAGGCAACAGAGAGGTAATACGAGTCCTAATGTTGTTAAAGTGCCTTGGAAAAGAATTCCTATTAAAATACATTCATATCATTTCAGCCACAGAAAAAAAGGGGAAATGATGCATGTTTATTTCAATGTAAATGCAAACTACATTTACCCCTCATACTTTGATACCTCCAAAAAAATAATCGCTTGAACTAACACGGTGTAACGTTTAGTCAATAGAGGTTCTAGACCTTTAATTTCCAAGTTTAGCTCCTCTTAAACCAGCTCTGCACTGTTAAAAAAATGCAACAGTCTCACTCCGTGTTTTAAAATCTGATAAGAGATCATTTTGTAGCAGCAGATTTAGAAGTCATGAAGTTACAAGGAAACATTCATCCTCTAGATCACGGATGGCAAAGTCAAAAACACCGAGGGCAAATAACAAAAAATTTGCAACAAGCCAGGGGTTAAATGGTTAAATGTTTAATAAAACATATTGAAATGAACATAGCCTATTGACCTGGACCTAAAACGTTGTTTAAAAAAAAAAAATATATATATAAATATCAATATTATTAATGCACTTTTATTATATTTATAAACTTATTAAGATAAATACATAAATTAAAGTGCATGCTTTATAAACCGAAAATGCAAAATCCTGTCTGCATTTTTTCCTGAGTCCATTCAACTGAAAAATATGAGTAAATAAAATAAAATATCAAATGTATGGCACACAGATAAAACAATACTTAAAAGCTTGTACAAAGAAATGTAAAAATTTTGTGATGAATCACGGAGGCGGATCCAGAATTCAGCAAGAGTTTCTTTAAAAAAGGAATTTATTAAACAAAAAGCAGAGCAATACCAAAAAGCACTGAAGAATCAAAAAGACTACAGACTACAGGTGTCTGCGGAGGCTGATTGAAGCCAAATAAAAGGAGCCTGGATGGAGGGAGGGGTGATAGAGACGCACTGCACACTGCAAAAAATTTATATCTACATAAGTCCTTTTTTTTCTAAAAATAAGTGCATTTTTTCTTGAATTGAGGAGGTAAGTGAGAAACTTTGCCAATGAAATGAGACAATTAACACTTAAAGCTGAAGTCTGTAAGTTTTTAAAAATCACTTTTTTGTCATATTGGCTAAAACTGTCCCTATGCCCAGATAGCAGTACATGTGATATGTAACCTGTGAAAAAAACTGCTTCAATTGGTCCCGCCTACTGCCTGTATTTCAATCTGGAAAGAATAATTCGGGACGAGTCAAAACAACCAATCACAGCCAGAGGAGCGTCTGCTGGAGTGTCAATCACAGCTCACACACGCTGAATTCCCCCCCCCCTTCTTGTCGCATGCGGTAGCCGCGCAGATGCTGTGAGAGGGGTGGAGCTTGGAGGTGGGGCATGAGTGAAGCAGAGAGGGTGGGGGAGTGGCGTGAAACCTGTTTTTCTTCAAATTTTCAGTCGAAGTCTGCTCTCTCCTCAATGTTACAGACTGCAGCTTTAAAATAAAAGTCTTATTTTAAGTGCATGTTATCCAATTGTCTTATTCTAAGACTAAAAATACTAATTCCATTGGCAAACAACCTTATTTACCTCCTCAAATTAAGAGTGAATACAGTTAATTTAAGACATTTTCACTTATTTCTAGATCTGCATGCCAAGCAACTGATTGAAAAATGTGTAAAAAGCATAAAAAGCTATCTGATTGCATAAAATACATCACTGTTTGCAGATAAACAGAATTTGACTTTATCAGCTCTGGATGGTTTTAGAAAGAAAACAGTATTTTTCACAACCTGGTTCCACCTTATAGGTCCGAGATTTTTATCCTGAAAGTTTCATAGCTGTATTTGGTAACAGAGGTGGCTCAGGGCTGCATGGGACTGTTTTTACAGCTTGGAAATAGGTGACAGACAGCGATGTTATAAACAAAGCATGATGTCACACACATATACACACCGAGATGCTGCCTCAGAGGCAAATCACCAACAGGGAAACTTCAAGCAGCTATTCTTACACTTTATAACACGACTCAGATGCACGACTAAGGCAATTAAAGAACGGCTTAAAGGCAGGTAAGAATTAGTGCTTCATCTTTTAAACTGTAGCTTCCTGGTTTAAATAATGGAGTTGGTACAATCAGATTTTTGGAGATTAGGTGAAGAAAAATAATACAGCGAAAGATGGATAGATGGGAAATAATGGCACCTGCACTGGTGGACGCATCAAACTAAAAAGGCTTGACCATGACAGGAGTTCTCTGGTATCCATCATCTCATCCTTCTGCTCCTCTCATTATAAGCCGTAGCATGAAGAGGACGGACTGACCCACCGACACATGGCCTCTGCATTCCCAGACGCTGCTAGTTACCCCAAAGCTTTAAAAACACTCACTAGTCTATATTCACCACAGACCTTGAAGGAGTCACACGCTCAGCTCTTTTGAACGCTCCTGTGAACGCCTAAAATAAAAGCAGATGAGTTTCTTTCTCTAATCTGGTGAACCTGCTTTTATTTTGTGTTTTTACAATAAAACCCCAGAGAAACAGGTCCAAACATGGTCTGACAGTAGTAATGAAATGTGCAAAGGCTTTTGTTACAAACCAAATTTTCTATTTCCACGACAACCGCTCGAAGAGATCAGCTTTATCTCTTCATGATTTTGGGGTATGTTGATTTTTCTCCCTGTGCCATGAATGTTTGAGGTTCTGACCAAGACAGAGGAAAGGTGACGGTTGCTCTGACTAGTCATGCTGTGCTGAAATGTAAACAAAATAGCACCTAATAGAGAGAAAAAGAAGGGCTAATATAATCCAATAGAAACAAATCTAAAGTTATGTGTCATCTTAAACTGAATTCGATTTTACTAAATAAAAATGTAAGAGAATTAGATTTTCCGTTCCTCCATAAACTGTATAATTTTTTTATATCACTTAAACTTTATGAACGATGCATTAAATGCTACAGTAGCAGCCATTCAAATGGCCCTTCCCAGTGAAACGGCAGCCAAACGGCAGCCCACCTCCCTCAGCAGATGGCCGCTCACACTGAGCCTGTTTCTGCTGGAGGTTTCTTCCTGTTCAAAGGGAGTTTTTCCTCTCCACTGTCGCTACAAGCATGCTTAATGTTAGGGATTCCATTCGAGTCAATGAGTCGATGCAATCAACTGGTTTTCCTTACACTGGAATAAAAAAATTATAATCTATACAAGTCATTTTTTCTTAAAATAAGTGCATTTGTTCTTGTATTGAGGAGGTAAAACAGACATTTTGCCAATGGAACAAAACAATTTACACTTAAAATAAGAAAACACAACTGGGTTGTCTTATTTTAAGGGCATATTATGTACTTATCTTATTTTAAGAGTACAAAAACTCATTCCATTGGCAAACTATCTCATTTACATACTCAAATTAAGGGTAAATACACTTAATTCAAGAAATTTTTACTTATTTTTAGGTAATTTTTCCAGTGAAGATAGAAAACTTTGAATGCACTGGAAAAACGATCTATAAATAGGTAAATTTATCTTAAATTAAGTGTATTTACCCTTAAATTGAGTAGGAAAATGAGATAGTTTGCCAATGGAATGAGTATTTTCACTCTTAAAATAAGATAATTAGATAATGTGCACTTGAAATAAGATAAGGCAATTGTGTTTTCTTATTTTAATGTAAATAATTTTGTTTCATTGGCAAAATGTGTCTTTTACCTTCTCAATCCAAGATCAAATACACTTATTTTAAGAAAAAATTACTTATCTAGATTCTATTTTTTTCCAGTGTGAATCTGACTGACGATCTGGTGAATTGTAAAGCTGATGCTATATAAATAAACTGAACCCTGTACACACAGGGTGTATACAAAATGACATTTCCTTCAGTACAGCTCTCAATTTCCATTTCTTCACTGCAAAACATTTGAATCTTTATAAGTCTTTTTTTCTTAAAATACGTTCATTTTTTCTTGAATTGAGGGGGTAAGTGAGACACTTTGCCAATGGAACAAGACAATTTAGATTTAAATAAGAAAAAACTATTGCATTGTCTATCTTATTTCAACAGTAAAAATACTCATTCCACATGCAAATCCTCTTAATTACCTACTCAAATTAAGGGTGAATACACTTAATTTAAGTATTTTTTTACTTATTTCTAGATTGTTTTTGC